TCATTCAAACAAAATAAATTAATTTTCGTTTTCCAACTCTTGTAGAGAATACATAATTATGTATTCTCTACAAGAGTTGGAAAACGAAAAAGAAGTTCGTATGAAAACTTTGGATCTTATATTGCTAATTTTTCTTCTATTTCTGCGGTTCAATGTACAAAATGTTTTCTAACTGAAATTTGCCAACAAAGACGTTGGGCATTGAAAATGTTTCGGTTTCAAATTTAAATTTTAATGGGTTGCATTCGTTTAGTGTCCAATTGAACAGTGGTCGCGCTCATTTTTTTAATGAACTTTGGACGGAACAAGATGAAGATCTGCGGTTTCCACTGTCTTGTAGCCAAGACCTGGCAGTATCTTTCTATGTATAAATCAATTCTATCAATGAGGCCTGCCACGGTGTACCTGATCGATGTTCCAAAGGAGAGTTTGCCAGTTTGCTAAGATTCATAACTCACTCAAAATTCTTCCAGACTTCTTCAAGATATCAACATATACTCCTTTTTATGTGCTTAATCGTATTTTTTGTAGCAGGTGTTAGTACAAAACATTCCATTATTCCCAAAACTTTCTAGAAAATCTTTCAAAATCCAAAGTACTTTCTGCTCATTTTTAAAAGTATTATGGAAGTTAATCATGTAGTACAGATAAAATGAAGTATATATTGATATCTTGAAGGAGTTTGGAAGAATTTTGAGTGAGTTACGAATTTTCTAGTTTTCGGTGAAAATAACGAAAATAGATTATCTCGTCTAGTATAGGTTTTCACTAGTTTTTGCGAATGACAAACATTACCACAAAATTCAGCGTGGTCGATAACCTATGTTTCCATGCGTTTTCAATTTCAGAATATCAAGAAAATCGGGTTCTAAGCAGGCATGGGCGAGTCCGAGGGGGTACTCAGTCCAAGTCCTGAGTCCATGTCGAGTCCGGAAATGTTTTAGATTCTTTTTTGACGAGGGCGGTTTATTTCTCTTTTTTAATTTACTAAGGATAGATATTTGATTTTTCGAAAATAAGGTTACTTTGCATGTCCGTCACCCGAACAAAGTTTGAAATAGAAGGTGGTGTTATTTCACTTTTCGTTTTTGTCTGTTCATTTGTGTTAAAAGTTGAATAGATCGGACTCGAACTACAAAAACTCAAGTCCGAGTCCGCCGAAAAATCTTCCAGTCCGGACTCGCCCATGCCTGGTTCTAAGGTGTCTTAGGAAAAGTTCGCTCCTGCCCGAATGATCGCAGGTGGAGCTGTCGGGTTTTGCCAGATATGTAGATTAGATGACTCTCTATGTTAGGCGTATTTTCAAACAGTAGACGTGTATGAAAGGTTAGAAAGCGGCAAACTCATCTTTGGAACGTCGATCAGGTACACCGTGGCAGACCTCATTGATAGAATTGATTTATACATAGAAAGATACTGTCAAGTCTTGGCTACAAGACAGTGGAAACCGCAGGTCTTCATCTTGTTGCGTCCAAAGTTCATTAAAAAAATGAGCGCGACCACTGTTCAATTGCAGAGGTAATAATTGATTGATGCATTCGCACAACTTCGAAAATTTTATGAGACACCTATGCGAAGTTTCGGCTTCGAACGAATTCTAACGCATTATAAACGAACATTATGCATAATGCGTTCGAAGGAGTTCAAGACTTAGAAATGCAAGTTGGAAAAAACGGAACTTCGTTACAATGTTTGTATCTCGAAACCCCTTAGATTGCATTAAAAGCCATTTTCACTTTTATAACGAGTTCGAATCAACTAAAAATATATTTTTCGTTTATAATGCATTAGAAGACCTTGGAATATGCTTGATATGGAAAACTGCGCACAAGCTTTTTTTGCACTCTTACACGTTTAAGGACAACGAATGCAACGAAAGCCGGAGTACAGTACACTGGTCCCACCAATTAGGGAACGGATAAACGAAAAAAATGTAACGCATGCGAAAAGTTTTAATTAATGTAAAGTAATTAATCGCACGCGTTCCGCTTTCTTAATGAATGCAAAGCACTTCGTCATTATATTGCATCGATTAACATTCATTAAATAACGGAATACATGTAAAGGCATCAAAAACATTCGCTTTTCGCACGCGGTCCGCTTTCTTGATGAATGCTAAGGCCTTTGTCATTACGCCGCATTATTTCGAACCCATAAAAAAGTTAGCATGCCTTCAGATGTAGTAAAAAAATTCATTCCTTACGTGCGTTCCATTTTTAATATATGCGAAGACGTTCACAATTACAGTACGCATTAAGATGTGGAACGCGTACAAAGGCATGACAGATATTCACTGCCTGTGTGTGTTCGACAACTTTTTTAATGTATGGAAAGGCGTTTGTAATTACATTGCACTCCTTTAAACGCATTAAAAACCTTCATTTTAACGCCTTCGGATTTTTTAATGCGAACTAATATCCGCAGGCTGCGAAAACCTTCTTTTGACACATTCTAAGCCTTCCGAAGGCTTAGTTTTGGCAATTTTTAGACAAAATAAGGCGTTCGGAGACATTTTTGGTATAAAATTCAGATTTAACGCATTGTAAGGCTTCGGACGCTATTTCGGACCTGCGACACAGGTTCCATTTTTGTCCTTTTAATGCGTTCACACGTATTATCGGCGCGAAATTGCCTACTTTAATGCATTCGAATGCCTTATTGTGTCGCATGAATCTAACTTATGAGAACTTCTTAATAGATTAGAAGGACCTGTGGAGGTCCAAAATTTCTTCCTGGGTAATTCTGATTATTCAACTTTCTCCCACTTAACTAGACCTCCAACTTATGAGTGAAATATTTATATTGATGTGGTATTTAATGTTCTATCCGAATAGGGATGGATCTTATGAAAATTAAGATATATTGCAAGGTTCAAAACGAAAAGGACAAAAATAGCAACGAATTTCGACCGATATTTGCTCATTTTCATTATCTTGTCTACATCATATTGAGTCGAAATAAAAAATCATTTTTGCGAGCGCCTTGCAGATTTGCTTGAAACTGTGCATATCGTGTTTGTATAGCTATTACTTTATTAATTTGCTTGAATGAGTTATCGTCATTACTTTATTGTTGAAATAATCTAGTGTGATGTCACAAGAAATATTTGGCGTTGCTATTAACGCTGTTGACATTGAGTGGAGAGAAATAAAGGCATATAATATACGCAATAGGTTACTTCACATGCTTTGTGCTACTTACCAATTCTTCTGATATGTAAGTCAGGTTTGACCGATAGTTCATTAGCGATATCATGTTGCCAGGTAACACTCAGAATATATGGTTGCTAATAAATTCTCTCGTCATGAGAATATTTCTTTTTTACGAATACGGAAGTCATGTTTAGTCTCGTAGAAACACTGGATAATTAAACAATCACAAGGAGTATTAGTATTCTAATGGTATCGCGTTTATCTATGTTCAAATGTGATTTTCGCCATATAAAAACACTGGTCAATGGCCGGTTCAGATCTCATCTGAAAGAGAACGATCTCTACAAAAACATGTATACGGCTATATTGAGAGTGTTTGTGCTCGTGGATTAGAGCAGAGATGGGCGAGTAAGCAGATTCTCGAGTACGAGTACTGGGCGTCGAGTATGATTACGAGTACGAGTATTTTCTAAAAAGTACTCGAGTACGAAAATTTTTAAAAGAAGAAAATACTCATGATAAAAGTTATTTTAATTATAGGTTATTGTATGTTAAAAAATTTCTAGTACTCGAAAATACTCGAGTACATTTTTAAGTGCTCGTAAGAAAGAGTCCCGAGTACGAGTACGAGTGCTGAAAGGATACCGCCGGTTTATTTTCTTTCATCCGTTTATCATCAAATCATATGTGTAGATAGTACTCGTCAAGGCGCATCCAACGGTATGTCGTTTTAGTCTGGGAAATCATTCCATCAAAAGTTATTTGAAAAATAATATTTTTGGTATTTAGAGGAAAGATAGTGTTTTCTAGCTTTCTCTTCTAACTCAATAAGAATATTTCATATACCATTCGATTCAGCAAGACTTACTCTATCTTTATATATGTTTAGTGTATTCTGCGCACAGAAACCGTGAGAGAAAAATTTGAAAAAGTAGAAAAGAAATTTTTCTGCGATATGGATACTTTTAATAAAATTGATATAGCTCAGCTTAGAAGTCTTGCCGCAAGACCAAACTTTCAGAAAAACATTCTGACATTCTGAGCTACAAACCCTGAGAATATGAAAGATAAATATTTTCTCCTAACGGAGTTATGATTTTTTTATTATCTGGTATAAGAGATAAAAATTGCCTAACTTTTACGTAAAATCCAGTTTTTCGATTTGGAAACACTTTTTTTGCAAAATTAAGATTATATTCGTAATCTATAAATAAAACTGAGTCAGAAAATGTATTTGTTGTTCATTGGGAACCTATAGTCTTGGCTCTAGGATTACTTAACCCTAAATACCGCCAATTCTGCTCGTCACCCGCAATTTTTATTTCAACGATGAAATGAAAAATTTTTTAAAGTAGTCACGTTTGCAGAGCTCGTCTTCCTCTACATTTTACATGAATTGGATTATTTTTAAACGTAGAAACAAAAATTTTTCCGTACTACTTTCGATACAAGATATACTTTTAAGTGTAACAAGAGGAGTGATTCATCCATAAATTGTTTGTTAAAGAGCTCTGTTCTTTCAAAACTTCTAGAATAAACACATCTAGTTCTCTTTTACATTTTCAGCGAATTGGATAGTTAAAACATTCCACTTTTAACTTTATGTCAAAGTAAAAGAAGAGATAAAGATATAACTTATGCTGAGAATAGAGTTTTTTTGACTGTTCGAATAATATACGGTCTTACGGACTGATTTTGTAAAGAAAAAAGTTTGTAGAATGAAAAAAGCTGAAAGAATTTATCTCTTACATGCTTAGAAAATACTTTACGTATTTTCTGTACAAGAGATCAGTTTGTTTTTGTACTTACACAGTCGTACGAGAGTATAAAAATTGTACTAGTGTTAAAATGCCTGATGTTCAATGTTGTAAATGTGGGAAGTGGAAAAATAAACAATGTACTAGAGATATTTCATCCGACAGTTACGAATGGATAAGAGAAAAGTTAAATATCACAAACACATCAGTTTTGAATTATTATATATGTTCCACATGCGAACGTGATACTCGTCGAAAATCGACAATCGTAGTGGATGCTAGTAACAGTACGTCTGATTTTGAAATACAATTAGAAGAATATTTGTTTATGAAAGATTGTCATCATCGTTGTTGTATTTGTGGAGTGATTTTAACATCCTCATCTGTAGTAATTCCATCATCGGCTAGAATTGATTTACTTGTTGATCATCATTTATATGTTAATTATGATACAAGAGTATGTGATAAACATTTATGTAAAAATAGATTATCAACAAATATTAGTATTAACAAAAAAACATGTGATCCATTATCATTAGATGGTGGTAATTTAAAATCTCTTATATTAGATTTAATCTCAAATATTCGAGAGGTGAGAACTAAAGTCGAGGCGAGGAAAGAGGATTTTGTGTGTTTTTGAGATTCCGTTTGTTTAACTGGAGGCATCTTCGAAGTTCGTATATTATTTCATCATATGTGTGATCTCTTCCTTTTTTCTACTTTCTATATCTTCATCATATATTTCCCTATTTTATCGTCCATATAGTCTCTTGCCTTTTTCCCCTCGTATATCATGATCATCTGTTTTTCTATCCTTCTGATCTGTTTTTTCTCATTACAATTCTTAATAAAAAATACATAAATACAAATTAACTTTCGAGTCTTGTCAGCCGATTCACCTTCGGATATATTGCATAGTTCATGTATAATTTACTAAAAGTCGAATTATACTAACATACAATATAGTGTAGTATTTGACTCCAAATAACTTCAAAATCAATGAAATAAACTGCTACTTAAAAATAGCTAAGTGTTACTCTAACTGATGAAGTGTCACTCAAAGTGAGACACGCTTCGAAATGTGTTCAGCAAAATTCGAGATTATTTTT